TATTTTTTTAAAAAATGATGTATTAAAATTTTAATTATCATTATCAAAATACTTATAAAGGTATTTGATGAGGATAACCTTGAAAAAATGTAATTTTTTTAAAAGAAATTAAAGTTTCAACTAACATTTTTTTAAAATTATTAATTAGTTATCAATATCTTATATTTTGGTTTGGGGCAAGAGTAGTTGGGAGAAAAATGCTTATATTTTAGACAATAGGGAGAACAAGTTTTGAATTTAAAAATAACATAAAAATCCAATTATTTGTGTGAGGAATGAAGTTATTATGCTTCACAAATTTAGAAACACTTCTAATAAATTTGACACAATTATCAAATGAAAATATTGCACTGAATAAGATCAAAACACAAGATTAACTGTCAATATTTAGTTGTCTTGGTAATAACATCACATCTCTAACTTGAAAGAGATTTTAGATTTGAATCTAGTGTTGATATATTTGTATGTGTACGTGAACGCATGTCTCCCTTTTTACATAGAAGTGCCTGGTTAGAGGCTTTTTCTTAAAGAAAAAAAAGGACAAAATTAATCACATTGAAATCCTATAGGTTAAATAATTTTATAAAGAAATGGTTATATGTTAGAAAGAATATGGTTCATTATAAAATTAGAATACTATGCATAAAATAATATTATATATACATACATGCACACATATGAAATGATGAAAATAGCACTTGATCCCCCGTCTGTGCCTGTCAATGGTCTCTGTGGTGTGGCGTCACTTCAAATGACAAAAGCTGTATGTTCACTTCCTTGGCATGAGAAAGATACCCCCTCTATTCCTGCATACTATAAAGATAATATATATATATATATATATATATAATATTTTTTTATTTAAAAAATATTTTATATTTTTTAAAAAATTATATATTAAAAATGTACTTTTAAGATATAATAATTATTTTTTAAAAGTGTCTTATTGATAATGACCTTATATTTATTGTAATGTATTTAATAGAGGTAAATATAAAAAAATAAGATTAGTTGAAAAGTAGGTAACTATTTTATTGAATTAAGATTCGGTTAAAAATGTCTTATATTTTTAAACGTAGGGAGTAAAATTTAAAAAAATTAATTAATTGTAATAATTATATATAAAGATAAAAAATGAATTAAAATATTTCATGTTAATCATCATAAACATGCATTAATTATTTTTTTTACTAATATAAATTATTAAAAATAATTTAAAAAGTACATAATAAATATTTATTAAAATATATGATTTGATTTATAATTAAAAATAAATTAAAAGTTATAGTTTTTCAAATAAATAAAAATGGAGGTAGTACAATAAATCAATTAATAACGTTTCTCGACGTTACCATTCAGTTAACCCAAGGTTGCAGCTTGGATTTTGGTAATTAATTAAATTCTTTTAACATGGCGTTACCTTATAGCACTTGTTATTCTTAAAAAGACGTTTTTTTTTTTTTGCAGCGTCCTAATTAAGACATAATAATAACTCTAGTGATTTCAGGAATCATTATAGTTTTTTTTATAAGGACTTTTAATTTAAGATTTGCAAAATTCAAAAAGTCAAAAAGGTTTTAACTTGTTGTTTGTCTGTTTATAAAAAATTTAGCCATTCATGAAAAGTATTCGCAAACTTATTCAACCCAATACTTGTCATAATTAAACATCATTAAAAGAAAACAAATTTCTAAATATAATAAGGTCGGGAACTTTGCTTTGAAAATGATCAATTGTCAGTGGATAATGAGGAGCTATAGCTAAGCTAGCTTGTAATGAAGGCAAGCTTGTGATCTAATGCACTCCATAAAATATCTGAAAGTGATTTGAGTTCATTAAAAAAAAAAATCAAACTCTCCTCCAAACTATTTCTGCAAATTTATTGGATAGGTGTTGTTGCTGTATGTGTTTTAATTTTTTTTTAAATATAACTTAAAATTCCTATACTTTAATTTTACTATAAGTCCCTGCATTTTTTCAATATTTTAAGACTTGTTTGGTTTTTATTTTTATTTTTTATTTTTAAAAACTATTTATAACATAGTTTTTAGAATTTTTTTTGCAAAAAAAAATTTGTTTGGTTATATTAATTTAAAAACAGTTTTAAAATTAAAAACAGAGTGACAATAATAATCACAGATGATTAATATTGGTGATTTATGATAAAAATTGATCAATATTATTATAATTTTTAAACGTAATATATTTTGAAAATAAAAAAATAAAAAAAAATAATTTGAAGTTGTTTTTATTTAAAAAAAACAAAAAAAATGAAAACAGTTTTGCAAACAAGTAAAAAGAAAACACTTAGTCAAATAAGTTTTAAAATTTTTCTGTTTAAAAAAACAGTTTTTAAAAATAGAAAACAAACAGGCTTTTAGATTCTTATATTTTTATTTTTTTTAGTATTTTAAATCACATAAAATACTAAAAATAATAATATAAAGATCTAAAATATTAAAAAATATAAAAATTTATAATAAAATTAAATTAAAATACAATAACCTAAAAAACAGATAATAAAAATTATAATTCTTATAATTTTTTATTTTTTTAGATTCTTATATTTTTATTAGAATTGTTTTTCCGAAAAAACAGATAATTCATTTGGTTATATTAATCTAAAAATAGTTTTAGAATTAAAATGGGAGTGATAGTAATGATTATAGATGATTAATGATAGTGATTTATGATAAGGTCAACATTGTTGTAATTCTTAATAATTAAATGTAATATATTTTGAAAATAAGAGAAATAAAAGGAAAACAATTTGAAGTTGTTTTTATTTTTTGTTTTTAAAAACAAAAAATGGAAACAGTTTGCAAACAAATAAATAGAAAACCCTTAATCAAATAAATTTTAAAATTTTTCTGTTTTCAAAAATAAAAAACAGTTTTTAAAAATAGAAAACAAACAGGCTCTTAGATTCCTATATTTTATTTTTTTAATATTTTAGGTCACATAAAATATCGAAAATAAAAATATAGAAATTTAAAATATTAAAAAAATATAAAAATTTATAATAAAATTAAAGTAAAATACAATAACCTAAAGTTATGTTTTTCTTTCAATCTATTGTCTATACAAATCCTTATAAAAGGACATGAACCCTCTCCTTCAATTTCTTTTATGCAAACAATTAGGTGAGTGGCTGTATTTGAACTAAAATTTATAAAAGTGAAGTTTTTAAAATTTAAAAATTAAAATTAGGATAAAAATCAGTTACTGTAAGATAGTTTATGTTTGATTTTTTTTTTTGGGGTAAAAAAAAGTCATTTTAACAAACTAGAACTTGTTTAAATAATATAACTCAAAAGTAGGTTTTGATGTATAATGACCGAAAACAAATTAATTTATAATATGTGCGTGTATAATTTAATCTCTTTAAAAATGTTAAACTTTAAATTAAAATTGTAAAGATAAAAAAGAGTCGATATATAATTAAAAAACATCATTTATAAATTTTAAAAAGTCGAAATAAATTGATAAAAAACACAAAAAGTTCAAAAGCCAAAAGAAAAAAATCAACTTCTACCCTAACTTTAAATTTGAGGCAAAATCTATTTTTGGATTCAATCTGACTTTCAGGAACCTAACCTTAATTTGGGTTTAAACCAAGAGAGCATCTATAATGACTTAATGACACTTTAGTCAATTATCTTTTTATGAATCTTCAAGTATCATCTACATCTATAATAATAAAAAAAACAGAACAAGAGCATTCACGAGATCAAGATTCACCAAACCTTACCTAGTTTGACAAACTAGACATTCACATTGACAAAGAGATAAAACTTTTACACAAGGTAGCACTTACCAGAAACTACTTGTCGATTCTGAGTACTTTCCTTATAGATCTATTAAGCTATAGAGTTCATGATGAAGCATGAGTGGACTTAATTGAAAGTAAGCAAGAACATATACATACATGCGAAAGTGATGCTGTGCTTCTACCCAGTTTCCAGGCCATTTCCTTGATCACACTGACCCAGTAAAACAGCTCTTTAATTAGCTGGGACCTGAATCATTGCTTGTGTTTCGTTTTGCAATATACGCGCATACCTTTCTTCCTCACATTCAGCTCACTTTTATCATTCTCTTGATAAAGTCCTCAAAAGCGAACCTGATAAATTATATAAAAAGAAAAAGGCGGAAAAGTAAAACGCAGCTTTCTTTTAATATATTAATAACAATAATAATTGTTTAATCTAATCTGAATATGCACCGAAACATATATTGTAAGGAACACCGAGGCATCCAATAATTGATTCGTTCAACCAATATTTTAATATAATCTCGTTAATAAATAAACAAAGCAGGCTTATACAAATACAATCGTGAATGACCAAGACCATATCGTATTATTATGTTCAGCCAGCCAAGTCCTCACCAACTCGTGCCATTCGCAGCCTCCCCAGTTTGATCAGATCAGTGCGTACCAGTTCGCATGTCAATAACACGGTCAAGGAAATTTGTTATAAGATCATATCAAATTAATAAATAATTAAAAAAATTACTTCTACATTTATTTTTACTTTCAATTAGAGAAAATATTTTTCAATAATTAAAAGTCAAATTGAAGCTTCTATTCGACGTGGTATATGTATGTCAACGTATTCATTCAAATACAAACACATGAAAATGGTAAAGAATATTTATTGTTTTCTCTAACATTTTATAGGTATTTGCAACAAAGGAAATTTTGACCCAAAAAAAAAATATATATATATAAGGAATTATAAGAAGGGAAACCAAATTTAATCTTAGCTTGTTTAATTTCTTGTATTGTTAAGAGGGGAAAATGAAATTAAAATCAAGGTCGGCTGTTGAAACGGAGCCATCAAGATTTCATTTGATGGACTTGAGCAATGGCTCCATATTAAAATTAGGAATAAAAATAAATATAATGATTAAAAAAGTCACCAACCAAGCGCAGTCAAAAACGACAGTTGTATATTATTCATCGTTTTAGCCAGCGAGCGTTCCCATGCCTCATTTATTGAAAAGCTTTGATGAGTCGTCTCTCAGACGCTGAAATCAAATAATCTATCCTCGTCGATCATATCCATTCTGATCCCTTCGCCGTTCTTTGCTTCTTCATTCATCATCGTTTTCCTCCGTCGTTCATGTCGATTCCTCCTCAAATCTTCCCTCCTCGTAAACGACGACCCTCGGCGGGGTCGTTTATCTCTCCCAAAATCACAGAGCTCGACCTCCTTCACTCTCTGCTTCACCTGACCCATGAGATTTCCTTTCTCAAACCCATCCGATTCCTTCACAGACGCAATTTCTCTTCCATCATTCGCAAAACCAATCTCCTCGCTGTTCTCTTTGAAGAGTTGATTAGAAGTTCGGTTTCTCTTTCCTTTCAATCTGCCATCCTTTGTTTCGAAGAAATGTACATAGTTCTACAGAGAATCAAGACCTTAATTGAAGATTGCTCCAACGGAAGCAAGATGGCGCTGTTGATGCAGAACGAATTTATTGCCGATAATTTTCACAAACTCACTGCGGATTTATCGACGCTGTTGGATATATTCCCGGTGGCGAAACTTGAAATAAGCGACGACGTTCGAGAGCTTGACCCTGATCAGAAAACAATGCACTGAATCAAAGGCTTTTGTGGATCCGAAAGACAACGAGCTCAGGCACGAGGTTGTCACGATGCTTGATCGCATTAAGCGAGAGATCGTCCCCGATGATTCCAAGCTTGCGGATATCTTCGAGAGGTTGGAAATCCGAGATTCTTCGAGTTGCAGAGCGGAGATTGAGAGTTTAGAGGAGGAGATTCAGAATCGAAACGATGAGCAATCCAAATCCGAGCTCGTCGCTTTGATCGGACTCGTCCGTTACGCGAAATGCGTTCTTTTCGGAGCTTCCACGCCGTCATCTTCTTCCTCATGATGTACAGCGGCGTAAACAGCCGTCAGAGATTATTGTTCCGGCGGATTTCAGGTGTCCGATTACCCTTGAGCTCATGCGCGACCCGGTGGTCGTGGCAACAGGACAGACGTACGATCGTGAGTCTATCAAACTGTGGTTCGAATCAGGACACAACACGTGTCCCAAGACTGGTCAAACTATGTCCCACACGGACCTCATCCCAACCGCGCATTGAAGAATCTAATAGCGATGTGGTGCCGCGAGGAAAAGATACTGTTTGAAACCGCGGGCAGTAACGACAAACCTCACGGCGTTATCATCAACAAAGCCGCCTTAGAAGCTACCAGAATGACGGCGTCATTCTTAGTCAACAAATTGTCTCTTTCTCCGTCCATGGAAGCCGCAAACGCCGTCGTTTATGAGCTTCGTTTTCTCTCTAAAACAGATTCCGATAGCCGAGCCTGCATAGCCGAAGCTGGAGCCATCCCTCTCTTAGTTCGCTACTTGAGCTTCAGCGTCGGCTCAAAGAATCCACACCTGCAAGTTAACGCCGTCACGGTCACGACCATCCTCAACCTGTCCATCCTCGAGGCGAACAAAACGAGGATAATGGAGACTGACGGAGCGTTATACGGCGTTATCGAAGTCCTTCGCTCAGGAACCACATGGGAGGCGAAGGCCAACGCAGCCGCCACAATATTCAGCTTGTCTGGGGTTCCCTCGTACAGAAAAAGACTGGGAAGGAAGACACGTGTCACACGGGGGTTGATTGACTTGGCAAGGTGCGGGCCCACAAGTGCCAAGAAGGATGCCCTGGTGGCAATTTTGACTCTGGCGGCGGATAGAGAGACGGTGGCGAGGCAGGTAGAAGCTGGGGGTGGTGGAGATGACAGCGAGGTGATGGACGGGTTACCCGAAGAGGCGGTGACAATTCTTGAGATGGTTGTGAAGCGGGTGGGCTGGTGGCTGTCGCCGCCGCGTTCGGCAGCATTAAGAAATTGGGGGTTATATTGAGGGAAGGTTCCGATAGGGCAAGAGAAAGTGCGGCGGCGACACTCGCCACAATGTGTCGTAAAGGGGATCGGATATTGTGGCGGAACTGGCCTCCTTGCCGGGAATTGAAAGAGTAACATGGGAATTGATGGCCATTGGGACTATAAGAGGGAAAAGAAAAGCAGCCACGTTGTTGAGGACTCTCCGGCGATGGGCTGCCGGAATGGACGGTGCAGGATTAACGGCCATCACTTCATCAACAACAATGGTTTCAACGGCCATCACTTCGTCAACACAATGGTTTCAACTCAATAGCACAAAGAGTATATGTCTAGTTGTTTTTTCCCCTGTTTTTTTAATTTATAATCTGTAAATGGCTCAAATATTTCCTTGTTTTCTTTCTTTGGAGTCCCAATCCTTGTAAAATGTAAAAGGAATTTCGTTTATAATCTGATTCTTTCATTTGTTTCCCGTTTCAAAATCTGCGTCAAAATCTTGGGATTGCTGCAGGATATAGTAGGAAAGAAATAGCTAATTTTCTGAGATGGCATTTAATTCTGAGCGTAATTATGCGGTGATGTTTACAATAACTTGACGGATTAAGGAGTTGAGTTTTGTTATCGTTAAATGTAGTTAAGTTAAAGATATAATGACAAAGGACAAACCTACAACATCCCAAAGATGTAATTTTAAAAGAGAGAGAGAGAGAGCGAGAGAGGCAAACATGAAACAGGGAGGAAGCTCCAGATTCCTGCATTTTCAACTCAACATACTAATCATGAGAAATCTTTCAAAGAAGCTAATGCCAATGCCAGACTGAAAAGTACTCTATGATCGCGTTTTAAGCTAATACTCGTGTTGATTAGCTTCCAGGCAATGCGCATTTTTTGTTTTTATTAAACAAGTGTTCTTATGAGTTGGTTAAAAATAAAAACGAGTGTTCTCATGAAACCTTTCATACAAATGTTTAGCTATTATGGACTGTAATATTATCAATGAACTCATGGATTTGCTTGGTTGATCCTTGTGTCTCTTTCTTTAGGCTTTTTGCCTCTTATTGTATTTGTTTCAAAAAAACAAAAACTCGACACGTATATTTCCCTGTTAGAATGAGTAGTTTTATTATTATGACTAGACGTTCATTCATATGACAAACAGAGTTCAATAAATAAGTTGTACAGAATGCAACTTTGCAAGATTTTTTTTATTTTCATATTAATATAGATAACTGACTGTTATTTATTGATGTTGATAGAGCATTAAAATCTGAGCTGGTCAGTTGGTAATGAGTTTTCATACTTGCAGTGTCAGCCCAAACACAAAATTGAAAATTCTCTTCCTTTGCGGATAAGTATCACATGCGTTCCTTGTTGGAAATTTCTTCAAACACGGCAAGATCCTTGCTTTTAAGTTTTGTCAACTTCACCAACAAACCTAGCATCCCCAAGTCAACAACATAGCCTATTTATTATTGACCAACCTCCAGACACTGGGCCCAGAAAATGGATTAATGGGCCATGGGCCTTTTGTGCATGTGAAAAGAGTTTAAAAGCCCATTGAGCATCCACATCAAAGGAAGCGTCACATTGGTTCATTTTCAGAGCAGAATATATCTATTGCCATCAATCAAAAAATCAAGGAGGCTAAGCACTGCATTACAGGCTAGCATTGTATATGACAAGAGAGTATCAAACAAGAAGGATAACATCGGCATGAGGTACATTGGTTGTCCTTCCTAGAAAAACAAACCAACTTAAAGACACAGCACGGTTTGGTCCCCTCCTTCATTCATTAATGTGTTTGACACAAAGTTTTTGACACGATCTTGGCCTTCAGATACCCGTTATCTCCTACCCTCTCCTCTTCTTGTACTGTGTTCTGGGACCATTTGACCACCTTCAAACATTCCGCAGAACTTCAACTGTTCATCATCATCTTCAGGCTTATGATGACATATATCCGTATGTGTTCCCAATGCAATTTCATATTTATATTTTCTGGCCAAGACATCACGCACTTCCTCTATATCCTTGGCGTACAATTCTTACCATATTTTTGAAATTCTAGGGATATGGATTCGAGTCAATTTTTATTACTTGTCTTCTTCTGATTCCAGGGTACAACATTCTTCATTATGGATGACAAAGCATATTAATTAGGATTCCAGCACATTTTTTTTCTATAAGGTGAGAAATTTACGTGAGTTCAGTCCCAATCATTTACCATGTAGGTTTCATTTCTAGTAAAGAGTCAGAGATGTGTTTACATATTATATAGCTGTTAACAAAGTCCTTATATTGGTTGTGTTTAAAACATACTCTCTCCATTCTATAACATATGACATTTTCTAGTAAACTTATTTAATTAAAATATAAGATGTTGGATAGTTCTTATAATTTTTTTCTGACTATACCCTTAATTCTTTTATTATTTCTTTTAAAAAATGGATCATTGAAATTTTAATTGTCACTATTAAGATTATTATATAAAGTACTGAATGAGTGCATAATTAGAACAATTTACAATTTTTTAAAAGAATAAAGCTTCAAACTAATTTTTTTTTAAGAATCGTGAAATAGTTACCAATTTTTTATATTATAAATTAGAGGGAGTATATCATTATGAGATATGAATAACATCCTTGCTAGTAAGAGGTTTTAACTTTGATCATGTTGCAAGTTGTTTATTTGTCCCAATTAAACCAGGATTTCAAAAGGTAAAATTTGACATGAATTAATCATTTAAATAAGTTCAACTTTTGATTTTAATTGTGCTCAAGAGCCCAAGTTAGTTTGAATGGAAGGCTTTTTTTTTTTTGTTTTTTTAAATCTTCAACCTAATTGAAGCTAAATGTGGCCCGTGATGTAGTATTGCACTAATGATTTTTGACCTTTATTACAGTTGGCTTTTCCATTGAGTTGATATCTTGTCCAAACCTAGAGACAAGGCAATAAAGCATGTAAGGGGTTGGCTAGAAAATGATAGATACACGTATAGGGTTGGACTATAACCAATTCTTGGCAAGGAGTCAAGCTTTAATATAATTTCCATAACCATGAAATAACACTATGTTGAGTTACATTTTGCCCAAACATATGAAGAAATGATTATATGCACTCCCTCCCTATTATAGAACACTTTTTAAACAATTTTTTAACTCTTAATACTAAACACATTGAGAGTTATTTATTATTATTTTTCAATTTTATCTCTGTTGTAAATTTAATTGTATGTTTTGTCATATATTGTGTATTTCTTATCTTTGTTTTAATAAAAATAAATTTGAAAAAAAAAATCATTTTAAGATTTCAGTGAAATAATCTTACAATAAGGATGAGGACATGATAGAAAATAACAATGGAATATAGATTCATGTAATCTTACACTGGATGGACCAGTAAGATTTCCGAAATTGGAGCCCCACAAGAAAGTTTCCATATTCAAAAGTTGCTTCCTTTACCTGTCTTTTTACATCTTTGTTGTGTTGTCGCTCGCTTTAATATGTTTGCAGAGAACATTTTCTTTTTAACCATAAAAGATTTGGTTGCTCAATGCAATAAGCCAACATATATCTACTTTGTCCAAAATAGCTTCCACCTCTGTCATTTCTCAAAAGTATATGCATGTTGCTCTTTACATCTGATTTAATCATTATTTTTAGAAGTGTCTACGATTAACAACTACGAATAGGATTGGGAGGTGCTTAATTGTATTTAGTTTCAAGTTCTTAGAGATATCATGCGATGCTCTATGATTGAAACACTTACACAATAAATTAATATTAAATGTCTTCCAAATAGTAGGGTAATAGGGTGCATCCCCATGCCACTAAAACCTGTGGAAATATATAATCTCACATTGATGCCTTCATTCTTATTCACATCAATATATATATATATATATATATATTATTCTTCAAAAACACGAGTAGCGCATCTCTCTTTTTTTTAAAGAAAAAAATTGTACTATAATATACCAAAAATATGTGTATTTTATTTGGATGAGTTAGTTCAAGTAGTGATATAGAAAATATTTTTCCTTTTAAAAATTGAGTTTCATCAAACTATTAAATCAAATATGGTTAATTATTAATCATTTTACATTTAATAACTTTTTTATTTCTAAACAAATTTTTGTCTTTTTAAATCATATCATTTTTTTCTTCATTTCTCTCTCTCTTCTCTCTGTCTCTATATATATCTATGTGTGTATATCAAACACATTTTATAATGATATTCTATTTCCTTTTTCATAAACATAGTTTTAGCCCAAGTTTTTTACTAAATGAATCCTGTGCAGTTAAAAAAATTTGAATTTCATAAAGTTTGTTATTTTAAGAAAGAGAGTAAGTTTTATATTTTTATAAAAAATAATAAAATGAGGAAAAAAAGAAAATTTTACAAAAATTCATGAATATCAACTTTAGAGAATTTGCTCCCACTTTATTAAGATTTATTCCATTTTTTTTTCAATGCCCATATTTAAAAAAAAAATATTTCAATCAATCGTGCCAACAGGTGTGTCAAGAGAATTTTATATGATTTTATTCTGCGAGACCCAAGATGATTGAATTTATGTTGGTACTTTTAAAAGGAAAAACAACTAGTTTTTGATAAGACTTGAATTGAATGTGAAAAGACTCTAGAGATATCACATGATCTGCATGAAGAGGGACTGCTTGTTGTTTTGCAAGTAAGAAAAAGAGGGCTCATTCATGCATGTAGTTAAAATTAATGGAGATTCCTAATTTCCTATAGCATTTCTGCAGCAGAGGAATCATACACGTGGAACCATATAATCTCAGGCTCCCTAATGAGTAAAACATTTTCTAAAAACTTTGATTGATCTAAAATAAAAGATATTGTTCAGATAAAACAATATATTTTTTTTTAAATATTTTTAATCAAATATCATCTTTTAATAAAATAATTATTTATTTTTAAACTAATTTTTTTTTTTTTATATTTATTTTTATTAAACATTCTAAAAATGCTTTACATTTTTTTAACATTTAATTTTTTAAAAAATATTATAATTTTAAAATGGAGGGAATATAAGATATTGAATAATTTTTTTTATAATTATTTCCTCCATTATTGAATATAAAAAAATATCAACCAACTCATATAACTTAAAAAAGTTTGGTCAATTTAATAAGTATATTTAAAATTAAAATTTTAGACTAAAGATTCTTATAATTGATGTTTACATTTTTTATTTTAATGATACTATACATTTTTGGAGGATAATTTAGACAAATATGTAATTAATATTTCTTAAAATTTATAAATTTTTATAATAAAAAAATAATAAAATATATGATAGTTTTCTTATATTTAAAAAAGATTGAATATATATTTACTTCATTCATTATTTTTTTAAAAAAAATATATAAAATTTTAATTATTATTTTTTAAAATATTTACATAAGATATTTAATGAATATGTGATTAAAAAATGTAATTTTT